CGCGCATGCGATCCCGGACGGCTGCGATTGAGAGAGAGCTGCGTCGCTGTTGCTGCTGTTGCTGCTGTTGCTGCTGCTGCTGCTGCTGCTGCTGCTGCTGCTGCTGCTGCTGCTGCTGCTGCTGCTGCTGCTGCCCCGGCGGCTCTGAGGGTGGCGCAGCCCGCTCCGCTATGCCTCGCCCCGACCCGCCCCCCGCCGCCGCCGGCTCATCCCCGCCGCCGCCGCCGGCACCGGCCGCAGCGGGCGGCCGGGCTCTCAACCGCCCCCGGCGTGGGAGGCCGTGCGGTGCCGTCGGCGCGGAGGCACCGTGTGGGTGCCAGGGGCTGCTGGTTTGGCCCGCAGTCGCGGCAGAGCACGCGCATGCAGCAGAGGCAGCCACCCCGCCCGCCCAGCTCAAAGGGCAGCGGCGTGGCGCTAGGACGTGATCAAAGGTTTGCCGCGCCGCGATCAGCCGTGTTGGGCGTCTGCATCCGCATGGCCAGCCCTGGCTGCATGCTGGTGGGGCGGCCGCTGGGCACTGCGGCCGCAGCCGTGGCAGCAGCATCAGCGCTGCACGAGCAGCCAGACGAGCGAGGCGTCGTCACAGTCAAGCGGCCATCAGCTGGTCGCACGGCTGTAGCCTGTATATAGTGCTATCATTTACACCGCTGCCTCGATTGTCACACCAGGCGCGTCTCCATGGCACCGTCGTCTATTTCTCGAAGGCCAAGACCAGGCTGCGTTGCGTACCATAATAAAAATAGCGTTGTAAATAGAATTGTATAATGCGGCCGTTACCGTTGCAGGCTGCCGTACTTGCTAGGTTGGCGGCAAGATCAGACATGGGAAGTGATCAGGTGAGGTGGCAGACGCACATGCCAAGCAGAGCCGCGCCAGGATATCATTGCATGCAAATTTATTCTGGGCAGACGAAACAGGCGCATTGCTGCCTCGACGTGTGCATGGCTGACACATTGACGTCACAAGCTACTGTGAGCTTTGCTCCCCACCGTTTTCTCCCCACAACCTCCATGTCTACAATTCCCGCTCGTCAGCAATCTCTCAAACTCTTCAGCCACTTCTCAAGCCCTTGGAGACCCAAGCAAGCACATCTAGATGTTACCACCAAGCAACGGCAGTTTGTACTGTAGGGCCAAGGGTGCGCCCCTGACAAGCGCGAGGCCGGCGCCGCGCTGGGGCATTTGCAGTTGCCAGGTGGGCCAGTAGGGAGGGAGCGCGAGGGTTCAAGGCTCTAATCAGTGAAAACAGACCCCGGCATCAATCTGAAGAGGCGCAGCCTGCAGGCCCCCTGCGCCCGGGCGGTGCGGCACGGTTTGCCGCCGCCACCCGGCCGCCGGAGGGGAAAAACAATGCACTCGGAAAGAAAGGGTGGGCGCGGGCGCGCTCGCCTCGTCACCACGCGCGGGCGCCACGCGGCCCCCTATGACCCCACGCTCGCCGGACACCCAGCACGTGGCCGGCGCGGCGCGCGGCCAGAGCCCGCCTGCCTGGCCACGCCGGCCACAGGGCGAACCCGCATGCAAAATGCGCGCGGGGCGCAGGCGCGGCACGTTGCCGCGTTTGCAGACGCGGGGGACGGCTCCCTCCAAGCCACAGCCCCGCGCGGGCGAGCGCTTGGCACCCCTCCTGGCTGCTCGCGCGCCCGCCGACGGGCCGGCCGCGGGTGAACAGAGCAAGGGAGACGGCCCAGGGGGCGAGGGCTGGAGGGGGGTGGGGTTGTGGATCTTCCGGGGCGCAGGGTCATCAGGCGTGCGGCGCCGCCGGCGAGTCGAGCGCGGCGCCGCCAGAATGCAGTGTGGTGTGGCCCATCCCATCGTCGCGGACACTCCTTTCTTTCTATAAATTTGCGGACACTCGGGAAGTGCGCACCCAAAAAAGGGCGGCCGGACGCTGACAAAGGGTGGGGGCGGCTCTGACCGCGAAACAGGGAGCGGTTTTGGGGGACACGCGCGCGGGCGGGCGGGCAGGCTGGCTGGCGTGCAGCCGCCGCCGGCCCCGCGCGCGCCGGGCAAATGCCCCCTCGGCTCGGGCC